GAGCCAATCCTAACAGCAGCATCACGTCATGCTTATCATAAAAATGCATTGTCATCGGGACTGGATCAATATATAAAATTTCAGCTCAATCGGACGTCGGAAAGTGTGTCAAATTTGATTTGCAAGGTTCCACCTCCACATAGAAACATACATTAAGTCAAATTAAATAAAAGCTTCATTCATAATAGAGTACCATCTGCCACTCAATATGAAAGTGAAGACAGTGATCTGGTCGCCTTTAGTTTTGGAGCATAAAACATATCATTTGGGGTTTTTTAGTCGTATATTAGAAGGAAACTTTCAATTATTTATGTAAAAGAAAACTTTATCTTCTCCATCGTGTCGTGAAGAGTATGGCATTTCTGGTGATTGGGAAAAGTGGATTCATTCTATGCCAGATGTTCCAGTTTAACATTTTTATTAGGGTACCCTTTCACTCTATTCTCAGACACACATGATTTCGGGAAGAAATTTGCGAAAAATTTTTTTGTGGAAAGGCTGTTTGGAACGGGACCTTTGTGAGTGTTTATAGTTATCATGTCAGATTTTACTATTTGCAACTTTCGAAACCACTCAAAAATCTGAAATCTGTTCATCTATCAAACAAAGCAACCCAAACAATGATAGATGCGTGATCAAAGCATGATCAAAATATGGAGTTGGGGCCGTTCTTTCACATATATTCGAAAATGACGTTGAGGGACCTATTTCTTTCGCGTCTAAAACTTTTAATGACCAACAAAAGAAATGGAGTCGAGTAGACAAAGAAGCATTGATCATACTTTTTAGAGTAAAACGATATTATCAATTTTTGTATGGACACAAAGTTACTTTAGATATAGGCTTGCTTTTGAGCGGTTTTAATTTCGAAATAAATATGTTCAATCTAGCAAAGGTAATACCAATATTATGTTTAGGTTACCGATAAAAGTAGACTCTCAATTTATCACACATTCATATTTGAAATTTCGATTTTCTTCGAAATGAAAAAATGGGGGTGTTACTTTCTGATGAATGAACCATTTTGTCGTGGAACTAACGAAAAATATTGATTTCATCAAATTTTTCTGAAAGTGCGGAGGTCTATTTGCATTTCATTTCTAGATCGATTCCGTTTTAATTGGAATAAACGAAAACAATGAAATTCAGGCATATGTGACAGATCCCGTGGATTTCAAGAAGTCACTGAGTGGTACACCAAGAGTGAGGCAAGTTAATAGTTTTTTTATCTATGTAAACTTACCTATGTAAAATTCAAATTCCAGGATATCGTACATAAAATCATCCGACTATTTTCACAACGTTACGGTGACTCTGAAAGGGACCTCTGGTCTAGAAGACATGTACTTTGTTCAGGATTCGCCTTCCTCGAGTTTGTCGGAATCCGCATATATGGAAGTACCTCAAGGAGTGTGAGTAATGTTTCTCATTTCAAAACTCTGACATATAATCAAACTGATAATAATCAATTTCCACATTATTATGACGAAAATTTTATCTAAAATCTTAAAATTATGAGCGTGTTTCAAACCTATACACTCTTTGTTTTGATAATTTCTTAGATTATTCTAGTTTTCTTCCACTTGTTCATTTATTTCAACCAAATTTTGAGTTTATTGCATATGTCTGGAGACCTCGATGATAGTGTCAAAACAATATCATTCATAAATAGCAAATAGTATTCATATTATACGATTTTGTATACCGGGTGTCGTCAATTAGACAATTCATAACTTCTAGAGCATTGAGTGTATCAAAATAAGATTAGGTATACGAAAATGATTCATTAAGAGTAGGTAGAATTTTCGTTCTCCAGTCGCCCCAAGTTTGATTGGAAATGTCTCAGATTTTCAATTTTCAGGAATTTTTTTTCAAGTCCACAAATAGAGAATGAATGTAGATTGTGATAAAGAAGTTCATACAGGTGTAAAAAGCGCTCAAACTTTTTAGTTTGAGTATGAGACTCCTACTGATTAATGGACAATACAGCGGCATCAATAATAGATGGTTACTCGCAAATACACAGCTTAAAAAAGTAAAATGCAGGCACGGGTCAGCAGAGTACAAGTATTATTCATCCTTCGAGGACCAAGGCAAATTATATTGAAATGAATGATGCGTGGGTAACAATGAAACCAAGGACTTTCACTTCGTTTCAACAAATCTCTCTCCTTGAATGCAATTCAGTAACACAGTACCCGATATAAAAACTGTGGCGGTTTTTCTGTTAATTTCGATAGTTGCGAGATTGCTAGACATATCGGGAAAGTAAAATAAGTCAAGGGAAAATACCCGTGTTTTGCTTCAATTTCACTCCGATAAGTTCCTGCGTAAATTCAGCATATTCTTCTGTCATGTAACAGATCACATTGTTATAGATACAGTCCTGGTAGGTCATGATGAGTCTCTTATCCATCCATTTGAGGGAATCTGGTCTCCAAAAAGTTAGGTTAAAAGTTAAAATTCTGATAGTACTAAAAGAGACGAAGAGTTTTGATGATTTGGTTCAGAGTCAAAATCAAGACCAACTCAACAAGAATCACGCCGATCCTTGCTTTTGAATCATTCAGGTAGAGAACAAGATCGAAACTTCTGATGCCTCAATAACCTTCATTCAGATCAGTTCTCTGGTGTAGATATCCTAAATAAAATAAAACAACCCCTTTCTTTTTATTGGTGTTTTATTATAATAATGATAATAATATAATAATAATATTTATTTTCCTTTTGACATCTAGAATGTATAGGAATAGTCATTAATAAAATACTATAAAATAAAGTGTCAATGGTTTCCACAAACTTCGTACTTTTGTTAAAATAATTTCGAAATTAATGTTGAACCTAGTTTTGTTAAAGCTGACTCCAGACAACTTACCAAGAGTCGATTTTGAAATGATCGATGAGTTTTACTTGTGAAATTCGCAATACTTTGGTACCGAGATGAAGAATGAAAAATTGAAATGGTAGGTGGTATATTCAGTAGGCCCCTTTTATTTATATGACATTCATTTCAGACTTTGTCTTTTATCAAAGGATGGAAAGTGTTGATTTGATTTTTATTTTATCTCGGCCAAGGAGCAGTATGGTGACTGTAAAGAGAAGCAAAAATATGTACAGTGAAATGCAGAATTACTCCAGAACATATCAATCTAAAAATAACCTGAAAAAATATTTTTCGGGATGTAAACTAATGACACGGAATATGCAGCAAAATAGACACCCGCCGAGGCCTACCTTTTACAAAAATACGTTCTTTAATCAGATAATTGTAACAGTTGTATTCACACCGAGTTGACAACAATAACAACAAAAATGGCGTCTGTCAAATTGGATCATCAGATCTGTGATTGCATATTAAAAACCAATACACTTGGCAACTCCGCTCTAGAAACGATCAATTTTATTGATCAACAGACACGCGGCCAATTTAAAATTCTTGCTTTTCGAATTATTCTTTTTTCTGCAAATATAAAGAGTTTTTGGGATCGATAAGGCTTGATAAGTATGATATACCTACCCCTAACTCGATCAGTCTATAAGTAAACCAGTATCATTTTCCATAGCGTGAAACAAGCCCATTGTCAGAGTTCGGAAGTCCCCGTTGGGAGATCCGTTACAACAGAGGTTCCAATTCCATTAGAACTCGTATCCCGATATTTCTGTTTGCTTATTACGGAACTAGTTCCTGTAGTTATGATTTGGAAAATTCGTTGTTCTAGTCCAAAATATCTTCATTCTCATCATTATTATCTGATTTGTTTTCACTATTTTCTTCTAACTTAACAGTCATACTATTTCCACAGCTACGAATGTATTGTTAGTAGCAATGAAGAGAAGCATCTGTTTGAAAAACATTTCCATTTGGCTTATGGAGGAGTTTATTCTCTAGTGATTAGAGGAAGCCGGGGAGAAATAGCGGTAAGTCTTTTCCTTTAAAATTGAAAACATGGAATTTTTTCTCTTCTGCAGGACAACTTATGAATATACAAGATGACAGTTTGTTAAATTTGAATAAGTATATACAGGGTCTTTCATTTAGCGCTTCCTATCTTCAAATTCAAATAAAACAAAGTGTATGTTAGATATCATCGAAATTTTCAATTCGTTTGAAAGATGCCATTATGTGTGGGATAAAGCTTGGCTCTAATGTATCTACGCCACGGCTTCTCTGGGTGAAGCACATCTAAAATGTCCAAATTTCCATGACTTCCACGAATCAGGCAGAATTTGACCGATACCATGGGTTATGTTGACTTCGACGACATCTGCATACACCTTCGACTCAAGAAAACCCCCCCCCACATCGAGGTCAAATCGGACGATTTTGGTGTTCAGTTCAGATCATTGGAACTGAGGTGAAATATCATGGCATTGTCCTTGACAAAAAACTCACACTAAAACGCTCACTTGGAAAAAGCCAGACTGTCCTATGGACATGTCGAAGGATTCGTGGGGAAACTTGGGATTTAGGTCCCAAACAAATCCATTGGATTGATGTGATGAATGTCAGACCAATGATAACTTATGGTGCAATTGCAATAACTTATGGTGCGGCCATGGAGATCCTTCTAGATCTACCTACTCTCCACATTTTTCTGGAGAGAGAGGCTAGATGGACTACATAAAGACTTGTGGACATTGCCAATTGCACAAATCAATTTGATGCAGAGTGCAACAGACTGTTGATTGACACTGGAAGTCACAGCATTCTGGAAATGACTTCTTACTTTATGCCTCAAACTGTCAACCACGAACTGCCTTATGAGTAAAGAGAACATGATCCTCAGGGAGAAGAAAATATTGAGAGCAGATAGTTGTTGGTTCACAGATGGATCAAAAACACCTTCTGATTCTGGTGCAGGTGTTTTCAGTTGCAGACCCAGAACAGAGATATCAACCTGCTTAGGAACCTGAGCGACTGTATTTCAAGCGGAAATTTACGCTATTGGAGAGATTGGAAGAATCCAACCTTATACATATGTCAATAAAAATATTCTCGGGCAATCATGAGACGTTGGAAGCTCTTGACTCCTAACGAGCAATGTCTAAATTGGTAGCAAATTGCCAAACACGACTCTCCTCGATAGGAAGACTTAACAGATTGTCTATGGTCTGGATTCATGGTCATACTGGCCTGGAAGGCAATGAGGCTGCTGACTCCCTTGCAAAGGAGGATGCTTCAAGCAGCTTCATCGGACCACAACCTGTAATTGGCATCGCTTTGGGTTTTGCCAAACAAAGATTAAACACCTGGATGGCAAAAAGATTCATGGACTTCTGGCAGAATCTTCCAGAATTGGCTCACTCCAAGGCGCTTATTAATCTATCGAAGCTTGATACCAAACAGTTGTTTGACTACAATGGGGATGAACTACGATATCTAACAGGCCTTCTTACAGGTCACTGTAATTTAATAATCATATACAGAGACTCTGACTGTCGGAAGACAGTGTGTGTCGCCTCTGTTTGGAAAATGATATAACAGCAGAGCACATACTTTGTGCCTGCCCCACTGAGGACCGAATCAGGTTTTGAGAGTTCGGCATAGCTGTACTTTTACTGTTTGACCTGAAAGACCTCACCATACAAACTAATAGGCTTCGTTGAAAAGCTGGGTTCATTTCGTCGAGTGTGAATAGGTGTGAGCCACAATAAACCCTTGCGGGTTGCGGTGGAGGTTCGAATAGACCCACTAACATAACCTAACCAGTTCATATCACCCCCACGTGAGATGACCATGCCCTCAAATTTCTCTTGCAAAATATCCAATGTGGCATGAGCTGTGTGGTACGTAGCGCCGTCCTGTTGAAATTACATGTCGTTGGTGTCCAGATAATCCAATTTAGGCTAAAAGAAGTTGGTGATCATCGACCTATAGTACTCAACGTTGACACTGATAGTCTGGCCAACGTCTTTCTTGAAGAAATATAGACCGATGACGCCGCCAGCTCAGAATCCACACCAAACAATGACTTTTTCGGGATACAATGAACGCTCCAGGATCTCATGTACCCATTTTTCCAGAAATGATTCTCATAGCTGAAGATGACTTATCGATAAGGATTATGGTCAGTTGCCAACTGCACCATGTCCTATTCAGCAAACACACGTCGTTGTTTATGGTCGTTTACCTTCAGTTCCTGTGTCAGTTGAATTTTGTACGAGTGCAGGATCAAGTCACGACACAAAATTCATCAAATTGTGGTCTGCGAAAGGTCGAGTTTTTGTGAGCAACGCGAAATCGACTGCCTCGGATTCCCCTGCACACTTTCACAGACAGAGGCAATGTGTTTGGCAGATATTACGTTCCTTCGACGTACGGGTATTGATCATTCGTTCTGAATAAATGACAACCAATTTGACAGATGTAGCTTCAACAAGATGACCATTATCAGTTGTCAAAAGTTTGCAAGTCTCTGTTGAAAGGCCCTATACTACCAATATACCTCCCTACCCCATACTACCATTTGATTTTTTGCTGAGAACAAGTAACAGAAAATAATATATTTTCTTCTTGTTTCAGTTTGCAAAACTCTACACTATGTCGGTACCAAATACTGTTAATATTTTGTGGCAAATTCCGCAGTATTTTCTCATTTCCGTTGCGGAGATCATGTTTGGTGTAGCTGGACTTGAATTTTCATTCACACAGGTAATCTAAAATGGCTAAAGTTAATGATTTTTTTCTACGATCCCATTTTTTCATCAGGCCCCAAGAAGTATGAAAACTGTTACAATAGCTGGATGGTATTTATCAGTGGCAGTGGGGAATTTTTTGGTTATAATTATAACCCAACTGAATATGTTCCGGAGTCAGGTAATATCAGATTGAATTATATTTTAGAATACTTTTTAGATAATACTATCTTATAGTTGTGATAATATCGTATACTATCAAATATCAATTCCTCACTACAAGTCGAGTTCAAAAGTTGCCAGTTGGAATATTTCGGAAATAAAAGAAAAAGAAAATCTATACTCATTTCTGTTTCTTCGTGAGTCCTAGGAAGCTAAAACTTTGTATAAAGGTGCTTCTTAGGTCTTAGATGCGCATTAAGAAAGGATTTTCAAATATGGGGCGCCTCCCGTGGGGGTGAAAGAGACGCGTTTTACTGAGGAGCTATATTTTCGGAAGCAAAAAATTTGTATACAGCTTCGTTTTATATTGCTGATAAGATTTTCAAATATTCCTACTGGGATGTTTCCTGGAGATAAAAGGGGGGGCGTTGACATATGAAAATTACTTTTTCATCGCTGTTTCTCCGTACCGCTTTATTGTAGGAGTCTGAAATTTTGTATGTAACTTCGTTTCACGTTGCAGATGTGTTACCTTTTTATCACTCTTTCTCCAAGCCTTCAAATTATCGGTGAGACATTCGTCTCAGCCAACGTACCTACCTACACAGTAGATTCTAGTAAATGCTTAACGGAAAACAACTACTTTCCCATCTACAAGCACGCTGGACATATCCAACTGAAATGATATCCAACATACATTTATGCAAAATATCTTACAGACTTCGGTCTTGTAGATGTTTATCTTCCTTCCAGCAGGTTGATTCTTTCATTCTTCTGTTTGAGGATCTGAGTTTCTAAGTTGATTGTTGAATTAAGATCAAATAAAAAATATTGTTAAAGTAACAATACATTGAATCAGGAGCTTCATTCATTTTTATTGATATTATGATGTCTTTTATATATTCCTCTAAAGTAGTCTTTAAGAAAAAAGATTTACAAGAAGATGGAAATTTATTCAGTCTGGTTTTGAATTTTTTTGATGAAATTAAGCCAATATGTGAGAAAACACACACATTTGGTGTCTTTTCCAAAAACAGATTTTTTTTATTATGATCTATAACTGAAAGAAAACAGGGATGAGGCATTCATTTCAAGGAAACCGTTAATACATCCAATGAACATGTTTTTTGACACTGAACAAAATAACTTTCCTTCAGCAGAAGGTCCACATTGAAGCAGCAGAAAAGATATTACCTCTGAGACGAGGCAATGCATGATGTCTTCTATGATAGAAAACTTCGGCTCATTCAAGGAACTGAGATTTGATTTTCTCAAATCTCGTGAGAACAGAAGTCGAAATTGAAGGGGTTCAATATGGTTTGCCAAATTGATGTTTTCGACACCTTTATTCAATCATAACATTGCAACCTGACACCAGTCAAGAAAGCTGTTTTTTTTGAGTTTCTAGTGTCTACATGACAGTATAGTAACGAAATGGATCATTTGAAATCACTAGGAGTTCAAATTCCCTTCTCTGTGTAATCTGTGACCTAAAAAAATGACCTAAACTCTATCACAGAATTGGAACCCAATAAGGTCCACTTTTCTTCTTCAGATACATAGTAATAAATCAATCCCAAGGTTTTCCTTAATGGTTTTAAAGACGTTGGCCGTATCTAAAGAGCGAACTTTTGTCTTCTACAGATCAGGAGAGCTGAAGTTAGTTACTGGGGAGTTCAATATGGTGTCTTCAACTCCATAGGGAGAAACACTGGTTCTAAATAACATTTCATATTCAGTATTTATTGTAATATTTATGATAGGTGATAATTTCAATGTCTCAACTGACCCATCCGAATATTCCACCATTTATTCATCTTCTCTTAGATTACAAATCTGTCAACATTTCTTCAAACAATGGATGAATATTTTGAATGGACATTCGAAACATTCTCCCCTCCCAGCATTCCCGCATAGTAGGATCTGCAAATAACTAGTTTCATGGCTAACACTATGACGGACATTAGATTATATCCCACAGACATTTGTGTAACTTCTTGCAAATGCTCCTCGTTCATACAGCAGCAGGACGTCGTTGAAATGTAAAAAAATTCCACTTCCAAACCGGTTCTTTAGTATTACTCCTCATAATTGCATGGCGGATATATTAAAATCATCAGTGCCGTCTAAAATATATTTCTCTGTGAGAAAACTTGCATAAATGTCTGATATTCAATCTGTGAGAAAACTTGCATAAATATTGAAAAATATAATCCATTGTCCGCAAAATAATTGTTTTCTGGCAGACGGTGCATTCTATTCAAGATATTTTTTTTATTTTAGACATCTATTTCGGGTGATCCTTGTAATTTTTCCATTTCCGAATTGTTCTAACTGGAAACTGGAAAATTTATGAATCTGACACACCATATACATACTCTTGCAATTTTTCAAATATATGATTGGAACGATAAGATTTTCGTAAACTTCTGAACTTTGTGGATTCCATTTCTCCGAACTGACTTTATATTCTACTTATTCTATGTATCTCCATGATCTTCAATCTTCATTTCAGGCTCACGAGTTTTTCTTATTCGCAATCCTCATTGTCGCAGATATGATGTTATTTATGGAAATGGCATCAAATTATAAGTTTGTGCAAATGATCGACACGCCAACATCAACTTCTACTATTTTCCTTACCGAAGAAGTCATTCCATTCGAAGAATATTACAGTGATGAAGACAGTGGAGAACAATGACAACATGTAAATAATCGTAAAGGACCATTCCATTCAATGGAATCACGAGTAAAGGTTTCACACATACATGATGTCTGTTTTATTGAGAATATTGTGCTACAGGTGACGAAAATAGTAAAAACTCAGTATCTTCAATAACAAAATGAATGTTTCAATATTTTAGTACACTCCTGTTAAAAAAGCGATTACGATGGAGTTAAGATATAATCAGTATTCCATTGCACTCTATATGGTACATCAAGTCAAACTATGGTTCGTGTACCATGGAAATTGTACGGTTGGCAACACTACGTTAGTCTAACCTGTATGACAAATGATGTGTGGACTGTCAATATCTTTTTTTAAATTTCAAGAGTAATAATAAGACATAGAGTTGCCATGTTCATACGGTGCCTATACCAATACAATACATGTATTTTGAAGCGGGTATCGGACTATCCTTTTCTGTACAATTTATGGCGAGTAATGAGAGGTTATGGAGAATTTTTTTACATTTGAAGTAAGTTGGACCATAACACAGAGGCGGTTGGTTGAGTTCATAATCGGAGGATAACGAATGATTATTGAATAACAAAATTAGTTAGCTCCCTAACTATATTATTAAAGGGGAACTGTTTTAAGGTAGGTTTACTATATCGTTTACTTGAACCAGGCAGGCGGTCCTCGATTGAAGACAAAATGTGAAAGACCAAGAATTAATATATGGTACAAAAAGGATTATACGTCCTATTCATTATAAACGAGCCCTTTCGACAGCTGGTCGTGCTATCATTATCAAGCCTCTACTGAGTAGCGGCTTGATAATGATTGCACAACCAGCTGCCGAAAGCGCTCGCATATAATAAATAGGAGTTATAAAGCTTCAAATCCTTGGTAAATATTCGTTTTGAGGGTACCCGGCGATTTTGACAATATTTTTGAGTGTACTTACGTATTTTGATGCGTAGATTACGTACTCGAAAGAAAAATTCGGCGCTCTTCCTTATTTACAAAGTTACGGCCTTTCAAAGTTCAGAAAAGGGCAACTTTTCAGCCTTCTTTTTCACAAGATAAACTATTTAAAAACACAAGCATTTATTCACTAGGTCACCTTTACACCTTATTCCTCCATGTTAGTTACTAGTGACATTTCAGGAAAAAGCGGTTGGTATTTGCCGCCGCCTACTATTTCAAATTCGAAGATTTGGATTTTTAGTTTGACGTGAGTAACAAGAAAAACACAAAGAATGAAGGCAAAAAACATTTGAATTTCTACAGCATCAGTCGTACCAACTATGCTATTAACCTTAAAAACGTAAAATACAGAGATATATAACCAAAAAGCAGCTCCGTATATTTTTTAACATTTTTATTGGAAAAATTTTGATTGTTGAAGTGAAAATGTCAAGGAAGTAGGAATAAGGTCTAAAGGTGACCTAGTGAATAAATGCTTGTGTTTCTAAATAGTTTATCTTGTGAAAAAGAAGGCTGAAAAGTTGCCCTTTTCTGAAATTTGAAGGGCCGTAACTTTGTAAATAAGAGAGAGCGCCACTTTTTTCTTTCGGATTCGTAATCTACGCATCAAAATACGTAATTACACTCAAACATTTTTTCAAAATCGCCAGGTACCTTCAAAACGAATGATTATTGAATAACAAAATTAGTTAGCTCCCTAACTATATTATTAAAGGGGAACTGTTTTAAGGTATGTTTACTATATCGTTTACTTGAACTATAATGATTTGTTTTTGTCAAAATTCTTTTTCGCTTCGTATATGCGAAATAAAATTCCCTATCAAAAATCATCAAAGGACAAACTATCCTTAGAATAGTCCATGGAATAGTCCCTTACATTTTTGCTGCATGTTTAATAAACACCCTGTATATGTGTATTCGATATCCATATTGAGAAATATAACTGAGACAGAGGTGAATATTTTTTTATCAACACCACTAAGAAATACTCCACCTTTTTTGTGGTAGAATCTTGTAGTGTCATTATGAATATTTACAAAACTTCAGTAAAATTCAGGTTAAGAATTGTCAATTCAACTTCTGATAGAATAACTTAAAAAATTTGTTATGAGTTTGTGATAACTCCCCGGAAGGTGAATGATTTATTTAGAAAAACATCAAATCAATAATGACAACAGTTCGATTTTCTTCAAATCCGGTCCTGTCACTAGTGCAATCAACAAAAGTGAATTCATTGAATTGTGTCATGTTGTCTGAAGTTCAAAAAAATTACGACAAAATTATTTATCTCATCGGTAAACCAATATCTTGATATGGTCTCCAATATTTTATTTTTAGATTTGTGAAAGTAGGGCGGGAAATGATTGTCTTACACAAAAGTTCAACGTGAAAGAAATAACAGAATCAAATAGAATCATGTACATGGAAATATCATTATTTTGACTGGTAATAAACACCTCAGAAAATATAACATGAAAAACACTTATATTTTCTTTATGAGTAGAACGTATAGAAAATAATATTCAAACGTACGTAGTACTACCATGAGAATGGAATAGAGGGTGGTCAAAGTGATGGTGGTGTTTGATCTGTTGGCGATGTTACGAAAGATAATTTTAGTTGCTTGCTCTAACAATATTTGAAATAGCCACATTATCAAACAATATGTATCATTAGTGATCATTTCAATTTTCAATTTTTACTAGTAACTAGTGATGACAAAGAATTGTAATGACGATTTACTCCATTTTCAATTTTTATAACAACATTTTTCATAACTAACCCTCGGCCGGCTCACTCTTTCGCCTTTCTGCGAACATCTACGGCACTTAAGCGATCATTTTAATTGTTCACAATTATGTGTTTCTGCTAAAGTTGGGCTGGAAATTCGTAGATTGAGTGAAAAAAAATGTTTTTGATGAAATTTGATCTCATTGTTCAATATAGTTGCCTTCGAGAACGACACAACGATTGTAGCGGTCATACAATTTCTCAATACCATTTTTATAGTAGGATTTGTCTTTAGCCTTAAAAAAAACTTCAGTTCCGAAGATAAAAATTTCATCGGCGCAATTTTTTTTAGAAAGCATTCTCTTGAAGTCTGAGAAGTCGCTGGGGGCCAGATCTGGAAAACACGGTAGATATGAAATCAATTTGAAGCCCAATTCATATGGAAGGCCGTTTTACTTTTTATTGTCACAAATATTCATTCCTCAATTTATTCAACTAACAATTTATTTGTTTGAATTTAATTGATTCATGCATTTGTTCGACACATTAAAAACGATTGTTCCCAAAATTTGTTCTATTTTAAANAAGATAGTCTGCGCATCCCAAACTACCATCATCCATTGTCACATATCGATGCATACATCCGGATTCTTATAATGGAACAGCTTCAGCTTTGAACAGATCTTTCGCATACCCAAACGTTCACGCACGCATAGTTCATGTCCAATACTTCCGTTTGATATCTTCAGATATCGAGGAACTCCACTTTCTGGTCATCCGAAATTATTTTGTGAACTTTTTTTATGTTTTCGTCGGTGACAGCCTCTTTGGGTCGTCCTCTGAGTGCATCGTTCTCGGTACTTATTTCACGTCGTTTAAACTCAGCAAACCACTTTACAACGGTTGTTTGTTCCTTGTGCAAAGTCCTAATAATATTTATCAAGCCAAGGCTCAGCTTCAACAGTATTTTTTTCGCCAAAAAGCAATGTTCCAACACACGAAATTCCTTTTCATCCATTCTCTTCTAACAAAAGCTGCTTCACTCAAATGTTGTATCACACGAACTTATAGTCCGATAGCTGTGAAATTTTGAACACGTGTCTTGAAGGTTAGGATTAACTAAAAATCATTGAATTTACTACTATAGCGCCATCTTTGTGTCAGCCTACGAACTTCTCAGCCCATCTAATATGGATTAGTACGTCAGCATACATAAATTGTTGTTGATTTACTTGAGGAGATAATATTTTCTCTTCTAAACACTATAAAACAAAACAGTACGATATTTTTAAACTACCGCTCTTTGGACATGGCGACCCGCTTGCGTTTGTCACATGATGAAAAGGTTTTTCGAGGATCCATAGGCGTAACAGTGTCACAAAATAAAGGTTAGTCACTGGCCCACATTTCTGTGTTTTCCTGGGGCAACAAACATCTTCACAATGTGATACTCTGACGTTAGTTTAGCGACAATACAGTGAATCAGATTCACGGAAAATCAATAGTCAGTGATGATGATTCAATTCCATTTTCAAGATAGTCTGCGCATCCCAAAATACCATCATCCATTGTCACATATCGATGCATACATCCGGAATCTTATAATGGAACAGCTTCAGCTTTGAACAGATCTTTCGCATACTCAAACGTTCACGCACGATATCGCCAACACTTCCGTTTGATATCTTCAGATATCGAGGAACTCCTCTTTCTGGTCATCCAAAATTATTTTGTAAACTTTTTTTATGTTTTCGTCGGTAACAGCCTCTTTGGGTCGTCCTCTGCGTGCATCGTTCTCGGTACTTATTTCACGTCGTTTAAACTAAGCAAACCACTTTACAACGGTTGTTTTTCCTTGTGCAAAGTCCTAATAATATTTATCAAGCCAAAACTCAGCTTCAACAGTATTTTTTTCGCCAAAAAGCAATGTTCCAACACACGAAATTCCTTTTCATCCAATCTCTTCTAACAAAAGCTGCTTCACTCAAATGTTCTGTCACACGAACTTATAGTCCGATAGCTGTGAAATTTTGTACACGTGTCTTTTGAAGGTTAGGATTAACTAAAAATCATTGAATTTACTACTATAGCGCCATCTTTGTGTCAGCCTACGAACTTCTCAGCCCATATTTCTGTGTTTTCCTGGGGCAACAAACATCTTCACAATGTGATACTCTGACGTTAGTTTAGCGACAATACAGTGAATCAGATTCACGGAAAATCTAATAAATATAATCAGTGCAGGGGGAATAACTTCTGCTAGTCGACTTGATTGATTTTCACTCGATCTACAATCGGTCATGATAAGATAGAAACGACAAAGGCGCCGAGTAAAGTATTTTTCTATCAGTTTGTGTTTTGTTCCTTAAAGCAGTGGGTCAAGAGACCGTCAACGCATTGTCAATATGGAAAAAGGTATACAAAAATATAATTTGAATCATTTTAGTATAAGTTCCGCATGAGGTTCTCAATCTAAAATTTGGGCATGTTGAAAATAATACGATCATATGCATTATGTGACGAAAATGTCATCCAAGGAAGGGTGGAAGAATAATTATTTTCATACAGCTTTTCTACTTTCTTTTCCTCGCTACCAAAGCTGAAAAAGAATAAGATTCAGGTTTATTTTCCGGAAATTGGTGGATAATGATGCAATCAACTGATAAACATGTAGGTATATGTCAAAAACATTATGTCAAGAGAGTAATTTAGTTTCCAGAAAAAACCTTGAAATTTTTAAAAATTCTTCATTTACTTATATAAGAGAGACGATTCCATCAAACAATTTGAAACAGGTTTAGAGTAGATGAGGTGATGAACAATATTTCAATTTTCTAGCAATAATTCTCGTTGCATTTTTTCTGTAGGAACAGAATCAAAACAGTACCTCTTCAAAAATCCTTGCATACGCTGCCTGTCCCCTACGATGTAGTCCCCTCACATAAAATACACTTGTGCTAGCGTTTTTCCCAATCCTCGAAGCAGATCTGATATACACTTTCTGGAATGTCCTTGAGGTTTCTCAGCGAAATGATGTTTATCCCCTCAATAGTCGCAAAACACCGTTCCTTCCTGAGTCTCTTCAATCTTGGGAACAGAAAAAGTCGCAGGGGGTTAAATCTGGTAAATACGGTGGGTGAGGCATGATTACGGTATTGTTTTTGGTCAAAAAAATTACGAAAAGCAATGACGAATGAGCAGATGCATTATAGTGATGCAGGAGCCATGAATTATTTTTCATTAATAACAGACGTTTTTTTCGTACTGCTTGTTGCAAGCGGCGCATAACTTCAAAACAATACTTCTTATTGGCTGTACGACCATGTGGCAAGAACCATATTTTCACAACTTGACCTCTATCCATTATATTCAAGAGTATTTCTCAAATATATCAGCAATATATAACCGATTAAACTGAAAATCGTCGCAATAAGTCCTCAAGTGTAATAATAATTTTTTTAATTGTATGAGACAATAATATAATGATGATAAAAGTGCAAATTTATGAAATCGTAAAATGATTTACAACTGAGATTAGAAAAAAGAGGAGTACCTTTGATAATTTACTCATGATACGAATATTTGAAACACAACTGAGGATTTTGGAATAAAGATAAGAGAGCTCATATTCTCCTGTAGATGATTTGATGGTCCAACTGATTATAGGTACAAAGTTTTAGATAAGTTTCATATGCCTGTCCTGAATTCAGAAAGTAATAATAATCTTATCTTAATTTCCATGCACCAAGAACGGTACATATACGCGACGAACTGGCACTGCTCACCGTTTTGAGATTCATCTTAGTACACCTTGAACTCCACTGTCAAAGAAAACTACGTTTATGTCAAACAAACTTCCTGAGAGCGTTTTTAGAAATACAACGCAGCAATTAAAAATCCGACGTGAATCACTACTTTCGCACAGACATCGCTTTCAGAGCGCCTTGATGATTTTTCTGTAGTGCTTGTGTTTTCTCAATGAGAAGACCGTTTTTTTCTATTGTTTGGCAACTGACACCGAATTATGAATATAGCAGAGCATGTGTAAAATTAAAATTTGACTGAGGAAAAATTTCAAAAATTCAACAAACATGTATAAAAATCTCGTTTCAGAACTTGGTCTGGGTAAACAAAGTAGAATATGAGCAAGCCATGATACTTTCATTTCCTAAAGTTGTCGAATGACATCCCATTCGTACTCGCATAGTAACTCTTTGGTAAGCTTTTCAAGAATACTGTTCTTGTGATTGATAGATAGATTCGAATGTCAGCACTGCAACCCACGAGAGTTTATCGTGGCACACACAAATTCCAACTTCACCGAATCCAGCTTATTAACATGTTCGATTACTACTTTTTGGTGAGTGGTCTTGCAAATCAGCTGACAAGAGTGGAATTGAAACTGTATTTTAGTAGTGCATGCTGATTTTGCCAATATCTAATGAATCTCTCGTTCATTCCAAACCTCATATTATTTGTTGATGTTTTTACACATTCCGCCCCAAAACTCGTCTCTTTGGCTGAATTATCTCAGCGTTTGTCTCATTCACTCTCATTAATCTTCTGTGTCTTTTACCCAAGTGAAGATTTGTATAGATAGATAGATAACTTTATTTTCACTAGTTCGGACTTCCATTGTCTATTATATGAAATGATTTGAAATCCCTGAAACAAGTAAAAAAGAATGATTAAAAAAGAATAGTTGAAAATAACAATTATATTAAGCAACAATAAACCTGAAATGCAATGATAGTAAAATAACCTACAAGTAAAAATATAATAATTGAATAAATAAAAATTAAAGGAATGCAAAAAAAGTCTTGTTTGAAAATCATCAGTGTTATTATTAGATTGACTGGTGCCTGAGCTATACTTGTTTCCTTATAACAGTCAGTTAGTTTGGCGCATGTTTGACAATACAGTCGATCATCACCTGTTAAAAATTCCATTATATTTAGTATCAGCATTGGAAAGTCAGACATGATGAATTACCTTCAATCGTTTTGTTGAGTCTAGTTCGATCTGGATATCTGGATATTTATTCAATTCAATTGAAATAAGTAAAAGTAAACCTTTACACTGACTCAGTTTTCAAGATTTCGATTTAAAACTTCACATTAAGTTTTCTGTGTACTTAAGCTTGATAACTGCGTTGATATAAAAAGTAGTATTGATTACAAATTTATAGGACAGCTTATAATCTATTGAAAATAACCTAATTTTTTTTGGTGCTAATTTACTAGTTAAAAAATTTAAAAATCGAAGTTTTATTTCGACGGTTATAACATTTAGTTTTCGATAAAAAAATCACTGATATAAACCTACCCGCGATGCATTCAGGTCGTCAGTTTCAACTATACATTTTGTTCGTTGATTGAGAACATTCGTTATATCTCGCAAAATGTTTTTTGCTTTAAACTTTTTTCCAGAAAAGAGCTCGAAAACATAACAAATTTCAGATCCATAGGTATGATTTTGGAAAATTCAAAAATATTTTATATTTACGACATTTTAAATTTGTAATTGTTTATATCGAGCCCACTTCGCGAAATGACCGTTTGAAAAAGTTCTATAAAACCCTAACTTCTGCTAAGAGTAGGGTAGACCAGAGACAATTGAATCATTTTTGCTTCTTGAATTTTTTTCTCTGCGGCTATCGCAAATTTCTTAATCATGACATGGGTAAAAGGGAGCATATTCAATCGGGTTTCTATTTACATCATTTCGTTCGCCTAGAATGATAGATAAATAAGATATAAAACAAAAACTGTAGTTCATCAAACTGTTTCAATTGTCCCCTTGCCGGGAACGAATGAAATATATACATGAGACAATTGAAACAGCATTCAGATTAGAGAAATATTTATTCTAATACAAAATAAATTACATCAATAATTAAAAATATTCATTCTGACAAGCAATTGTGAAACATGTAAAGATCTTCTTGTCGAGTACATTCTTCGTGGGACCAGTGACGACATTCAATGCACCGCACCCATTTCTCTCCAGGGCGACTACTGCCATATCACATAGCTATTTCTTTCGTTCTTGTTATTTGTTATCATCCGAATTCAAAATGACACAAGACTGGGTCAATACATGATTACTCCTTAATTTTCCAAGAAATTTTTTCCAGAGTGACTGACCTACTTACTGATCCCAAATTGATTTCATAGCACTAATTCAAGATCAATGTCGCAAAACATCAAAACCGAATACACATACACACGAATTAAATTTGTTGTTATTGCATTACCATTACTGGTTCAAGATTTTGAACGCCGTAATTGAAATTCATTAAATTTTCATTTAACGATTTGTCCTCGTACTGTTTATTTAGGTCACTTGCTTGTTTATTCTTTAATCGGAATGGACACCTTCCGTCACTTGATTTTTAGCGGGCCTGCAATCCAAAAAATCATGTTTTGACATTGAAACAGCACTTGTAGTGTGCTGAGTTGAAAAAATATGTTTCTAAATGAAGACCTTAGGTGAGTTGTCGAACATGGAGAATGTGTTTAAAAATCTGTTTCTGTTTTTCCGTTAATCAGCTGTCGCCCCCATTCGAATGACAACTCTCAGAAGTTGAGAACTTGTGCGAGCGAAGGACTAACGAGGTCTTACCTTTTAACGTGTGATTCCTAACACGAATAATAACATACACATTTCGAATAAAGGTCAGTCAAAAATTCATTGGTATTCATAAATCCACAGGGACTCAATGAATATACAATGTTGACTATTGAATTCCTTTTTTTTATTAGGTTCAGATTTAGGGATTACATGAAGATGCATAGAATCCCTGGTGATTTACTCGATTCGCTTTCGTTTTGTCAAAAACTCTTTTTCAATGAAAATGACTTTATTGTTTTTCGAAATATTCCCCTTGAAGATCAATACACTTATGCATTCGGTGAAATCATTTGTCGAAGCAGTTTTTCCATTCCTTTTGAGACACCTCCACAACGTGGTTTCGTAACGCTTCAACTTCTTCTTCGGCGCTCGTAAATCGTTGACCACGCAGTTTACCTTTGATATTCAGAAACAAGAAGAAGTCATTATGTGCCAAATCAGGACTGTCTGGAGGATGAGTCATCAATTCAATGTTTTGAATGCTCAAAAATGCACCAGATGTATGAGAATTCGCATTGTCATGACGGCGGTTAGTTTTATGAATTTCTCCGAAAAATTCCAGCCAACACATGGTCGTGTACCACTCAGAATTGACAGTGTTACGTTGCTCAAGCAGAATAGTGGCCACATGACTCATTCCGCTGAAGAAACAGGCGACCATTTGCTTCGGTGTGCTTTTTCCACGAACAAGTTTTGTTGGATTCAGCTCCTCTGGGAATACCATGATATCCATGATCCCTCATCTGTCACAATTTTATATACGTCACTTGAATCACTACTTG